AGGGAAGAGGCTGGGGAGGCGGGGGGAGGTCTTGATGCCCGAGGGGGGGTGTCTGATGCGTGTTCCCCCCCCTGCAGAAATCGTGGACCAGCCTGGCGTGGACATCTTCGGGCAGGTCTACAACCAGTGGAAGAACAAGGAGTGCGTGTGCCCCAACTGCAGCCGCAGCATCGCCGCCTCCCGCTTCGCCCCCCACCTGGAGAAGTGCCTGGGCATGGGCCGCAACAGCAGCCGCATCGCCAACCGACGGTCAGCATTGCCCCCCCTTCACCCCCCCCCCAAAAAATAACCCCACCGGTTTGGGGGTCCCCACAGACCACCACCACCACCCCAACATGGGGAAACTGAGGCACAAAGTGAGGAGTGAGGGTGGGGTGATCTCTCAGTGGGGGATTTGGGGACCCTCATCTCTGTGCTGGGATGGGAATTGGGCACCCATACTCCTCCTCCCCCCTTTGTTTTTTATTGGGGGGTGCACGTCCTGCCCCCCCCAAACCCTGGAGTCCCACCTCCATCCAGCTCCTTGTGCTCTAACCTGCTGCTTCCTGGAAAAAAGGGGAATTCTGGCTCCTCTGTCTGTCCCCACCCCCCTTTCCTTGGTGACTGCTGGGGTCCCCCCCATCTTGGATCTGGGGTGGGGATGGTGGGGGGCAGGGATGGATCCTGGGGTGCAGGGAAGGGTGTGGGATGGATCCTGGGGTGCTGAGGAGGACATGGAATGGATCCAGGGGTGCCAGGACGGATCCTGGGGTGCTGGGAAGGGCATGGGATGGATCCCGGGGTGCTGGGATGGATCCCAGGGTGCTGGGGAGGACATGGGATGGATCCTGGGGAGGGTGCAGGATGGATCCCGGGGTGCAGGGACAGATCCTGGGGTACCAGGATGGATCCAGGGGTGCTGGGGAGGGCATGGGATGGATCCTGGGGTGCAGGGAAGGATGTAGGATGGATGCTGGGATGCTGAAGAGGACATGGAATGGATCCTGGGGTGTCAGGACAGATCCTGGGGTGCTGGGGAGGGTGCAGGATGGATCCTGGGGCTCTGGGGAGGGCATGGAACAGATCCTGTGGTGCTGGGATGGATCCCGGAGTGCCAGGGAAGGCATGGGACAGATCCCGGGGTGCTGGGATGGATCCTGGGGTGCTGGGAGTGACACAGGATGGATCCTGGGGTGCCAGGGAGGGCATGGGATGGATCCTGGGGTGCTGGGATGGATCCTCGGGGGCAGAGAAGGATGTGGGATGGATCCTGGGGTGCTGAGGAGGACATGGAATGGATCCAGGGGTGCCAGGACTGATCCTGGGGTTGCTGGGGAGGGTGTGGAACTGATCCTGGGGTGCTGGGATGGATCCTGGGGTGCTGGGGAAGGATGTGGGATGGATCCTGGGGTGATGAGGAGGGTGTAGGATGGATCCTGGGATGGAGAACAGATCCTGGGGTGCCAGGGAGGTGCAGGGATGGATCCCGGGGTACAGGGGCAGATCCTGGGGCTCAGGATGGTCCCAGACCTTACCACCCCCCCCCCCCCCACCCCCCCGCCCCCCCCCTCCCAGCCCCCTGCCTGCATCCTATAGGCGCAGGATCGCGAGCAGCAACAACATGAACAAGTCGGAGAGCGACCAGGAGGACAACGATGACATCAACGACAACGACTGGTCCTATGGCTCCGAGAAGAAAGGTGGGGGGATGCGGGGGGGGACACACACGGGGACACAGGGGTCCCACCTCCCCCGGGGGCGGTCCCGTCCCCCCAACGAAGTGTGGAGGACACGTCCCAGCCTCCGTGTGGCCCTTG